CCCAAATTAAAAACTTGAAAAGAAGATTTTTACAGTTTTTTTTTTTTTATATATCTTAATTTAAACCTGATCCCCTATTGTGGCCCCACCCTACTCCCAGGGGACACGATTTGAATAATTTACAATCTAGTCCAGTGGTTCACGAGAAGAATTTTTTTTTTTTTTTTTAAGATATTTTCCCTATATATTTCAATTTGAAACTTTGATTCCCTATTGTAGCCATACCTCATCCCCAGGGGACGTGAAAAATTTAGAATCTATACTATCTTAGGAGGCTTTCACATAAGTTTTGTCGTTCCTTGCCCAGTGGTTTTTGAAAAAAAAAAATTCCAGATTTTTTCCTACATATTTCAATGTTAAACTTTGATACCATATTGTGGCCCCACCCTACACCCAGGGAGCTTGATTTGAATAATTTAGAATCTACACTACCTCCGAAAGCCTCCATATAAGTTTCAGCTTTTCTGGTTCAGTGGTTCTTGTGAGAAGAAGATTTTAAATGACCCCGCCCTATATTAGCCTATTCTTGATTATCTCCCTCTGGAAGGGGCTTGGCCTTTCATTTTAACAATTAAGAATCCCCTTCACAGGGATGCTTTGAATCAACTTCGGTTAAAATTGGTCTAGTGGTTCTTGAGAAGAATAAAATGTGAAAAGTTAACAGACTTTTCAGCTTAAAAAATGTTATCGCATCACTTTTTTCAAGTTTCTCTTAATATATGATGAAATATTGTTTGAAATAGGTATTTCCTCTTCTTCTCTGTAATTTATTTTCTCATAAAATCATGAAACTAGCTAGTACCCTAGTTGTGATGTCGACTTGGTTTGAATGTCATAATTTTAACAAAATGAATCTGCTTCGCATGAAACTTTTAAACAAGGTTAGTACTACATCATCTTGCGGTCTAGACAAAAGGCAGGTCATTTTCCAGTACTATTATCTCAGTTACCGTGCTTCTTTTATTTGTTTATTTTAAACCCTCAACAATGGGTACCCATCCCACAGTGAACAAAAGAGCAAACATTAAAATTCAAGTTATCTTGTGATACTTGGATATTGTGACACTAAAGCTCAACTGATCAATTTAATCTCATTCAAACGTTTGAGAGTATCTTATGATACGTGAAGAGTATGGAAAAGTGATCTCACAAGGGAGTTTTCTAATTGTCCTGTCAAACAAATAATCAAGGTAGCATGGGTTTTTATTTACAAATCTTCATATTTTATTGTTTTAGTGTTGCTTGTTCTGCAAATAGATCGTGGAAGACAATTAAGTGGGAAAGATTTAGAATAACATGGGGACGCCATAGGCCCCAAGCTTGTTGGTTTTAGTTATCATAACGTTCTGAGATTCAAGTAAAAAAGCCTTAGAGTAAGGTACTGTAGTATTTTGGTCTAACGTAAAACTTTGGCCCCCTGTTGTGTCTGTGCCCAACCCCCAGGGGTCACTTAAAAGAAGAATATTTTTAAAAATATTTCCTATATATTCCTATGGTAAAATTTGACCCCCTGTTTTGGCCCTGCCCTACTCCCAAGGGTCATGATTGGAACAAATTCGAACATACACTATCTGAAGATACTTCTATAACAATATGACTAATCAAGGTTTTGCTGTTCTCGAGAAGAAGATTTCCTATATATTCCTATGTAAAACTTTGATCCCCTCTTGTGGCCCCACCCTAGCCCCTGAGGTTATGATATGAACAAATTTGAATTAAGAGTATGTAATGAAGCTTTCAGTTAAGTTTCTTCATTTCTTGCCCAAGGTGTTTTGAGAAGGGAATTTTTAAAAGATGCCACCAAATTTTCACAAATTCTTAATTACCCCCCCCCCCCCTTGAAAGAGGGCGTGACACTTCCTCTGAACAAATTTAAATCCCATTCATTCAAGGATGTTTTGTGGCAAGTTTGGTTGTAATTGGCCCTGTGGTTCTTGAGAAGAAGTAGAAAGTTTGAAAAGTTTACAGACGACGGATGGACGGACACTCTTTGATCAGTCTGTCATCTTATCATAATAATAAGGAAACGGATTAGTATAAGTTTTTAAACTTGTTTCCGAATCCTTTATGATTTTTGTACTACTTATCTGTATCTTCTGCTTGTCATTTTCAAATAAAATATGGTTTAAACTAACCGTCCGGATGAAATAGGATTTTCACGTTCGTTTTTTTTTTTTTTTTTTTTTTTTTTTTTTTTGCGCTTGTCAAGAAATTTTTCGGGGTTTCATACGTTTGGGTAAGAAGTTAAAGTTTTTTAAAAAACATTTTTTGCTGGTTAAGAAAATTTCTGGGATGGACTGGGGGAGGACCCCTCCTCCCCTGGAAAAAATTCCTGGATCCGTGCCTGTATAGAGTACAAATAAAAAAAATTATACAATACAAATGGAAAATTGTAGAATACATATACGAATTATACAATAATAATTTAATTTTGTTTGTATACTAGGTTATACTCGAATAATTTGGCCAAGAATTATTTGTATACCAGGTTATACTCGAATAATTTGGCCAAGAATTAGAGTCATTCCTAAACAAATGAAAAATTATAAAATACAAATGGAAAATTATTAGCAGATAAATTAAAATTATACAACACAATGGAAAATTATATAATGCAAATTGGGAGATCGAATATTGCAACGTTTGGCATGCCATAAACATGTATAAAGCGAACCTGTGTGGCTGAATAGATTATAGTCATAGTGTTATTAATATCCACGAACAAATCTCGAGCGCTTTTCATGGTTCAGGATGAGTAAATTATATTCTATAAAAAAACATAGGTAATCAGAGATTACAGAGCTCACCTCAACGAATGTTGTCTTTATAAGGCAAAGTCCCAAATTAAGTTAAATAGTCCCTCTCTTTCCTTTATAAATTTGCTATAGTGATTAAGGAAATGTTCTTCATCTTCAATTTGATTAAGCATATTGTATGCATACAATTTTTTACATATTCTTCCTGTTCTAGGTGTGTCACTTTATCTGCCCAATTCTATGAAGAGTCTGTGTGTTGATACACGTAATCTACTAGTAAATTAAAGTATTCGTTATATGATCTTCAAATTGTTATATTTTTTCCTCTATATTACTACACGCATTGGTATGATATTTAAAAGATATAAAGGGTCTACTCATACCCCCCCCCCCCCCCAAAAAAAAAAGTTCTATAGAATAAAGAATCCTATCAAGTTTGCTCACCATTCTCATTTAATTTTCCAACATCAAAAAAGAAAGAAAAGATTAATTAAACAATATTATCTAGATACATTGTACATAGTGACTAAGGGTTTTATTCAAAGTAATATACTTTTAATTTTCCTGCATGGATGTCTATTTTTTAAATTTATGTATGATCATTTTACACTCACTTAAGGTGTCTTAATTTAGGAGGACCCTAAAAACCCAGTCACATTTCCAAAAACGACCAACGGCCGACGTATTTTGAGGCAAAAATTGGATTCTTCGGGCGACAGTCGGCAGTTCATCGGCTGTTGTCTAGCCCGATTTTGGCCTCTTTTTTGTCGGCCGACCAATTTTTTTGTCCGTCGGGCCCAGTTATAATGTTTCTGCGTCGATGGCCGATTCCTTCAATTGAAGTAGTCGTTGAATAGTCCGTCGACTAACCCTTGATCATCGCCCGACCATCGGCAGACAGTTTTTAAAGTCGGTCGATCGACTTTTAGGAATTGGATTTTCGTAAATATTGAAAATCAAACTGCGGCCCAGCGAACGATGACCGGGAGACGGTTGGCCAACTTATAAATATTTTTACTTTTAAAGGCATCAGTGTTCCTAGGACTTAATGTAACTACTCTGCGTCGTCCGATACTAGTGTCGGCCGATTTTGTTTTTTTCAGCCGACGATACGGGAAAAAATTAGTCGCCCGACCATCGATTTAAATGTGACCTAGGCATAAGTCAGCTTTGATTTACATGCCTAAGTTTGTCTAAGGATCATCCTAAAATTTCCCTAAGCTTGTAACTCTTTTTTGTCTATTTCTGAATTTTTTAATCCATCTGGACACTGCACTACGTGAAACAGTAGCCATTCCGTATGTAATGTAGTGCAGTGGACGTTTCACACACTCTCTCGTTTCCATTTTCTTGGTAGAGACCATTTTTGGTCAACTCATTGTAGTGAGCATGCCTACTTTAAGAGTGAATTTATTTGCGAAAACGGTTAAAAAAAGACATGCTGCTTTTGAGTGATTTGGGACTCTTAAAAAGGATTATTAGGCAGTGAAGCTTTCCATATTTAGTATGGTAAACCATATGTTGCATTATTTATCGAACACTCCTCGTACAGGACAAGCAATGCAAAGGCCTAGGAAGTTCATGAAACACCAGACCACCAGAATAGAAAATGTTAGAATACGATATCGAAAGTGGAAAAGGAGGAAATGTATGGAATCCGGATAGTATGGAATCCGGATAGGGTCACGTTGTTCACTATCGCATCACTGTACCATCGAGGTTTGAGTCGATAGTGCGATGACGATTAAACGATAGCACGATGACGATGATCAATGGCGCAACAATGCCATAACGATGGTGCGATAGCAATGAAACGATGACGATGGCACGATGAAGATCCATCGTGCTATCGCTCCATCGTCATCGCATTGTTGCACCATCGTCATCGCATTATCGCGCCCTCGACTCTATATCTTAATTAAAGCCAATGATGTAGTGAAGGATGATTCTATTTTCGATACAGACAAAAGAAAAAAAAAGCCTTATCGGTATCGTTTTGAGTAATCTCAGTGCCAAAGTGAGTTTAAAGAAGAGATGAGACTTGTATGGACTTTTAAAATTATTGACCTAAATACCTTTTCATACCATAAATGGCGGGGAGTCTTATTCATTCGGATACATAAAGGAAACTTCATTAAAGTTGTTTATTATCAAGTATCATGTTAAACAATATCAACTCCTAGTATAATTTGTGTCATTGAAATTAGATTTGATGGTTGTAAAAAATCAACAAAAACAAAATCGTTGGAATTCATGGTTTATTTTAAGATCTTACAGTTACAAAAAAATAGTTGCATAATGCACACCGTACATGTATATGGCAAATCTTATCTTCCAACTTCATAATTTATCTTCAATGTATAACGTACACACCGCTAGATATGAAAGCAAAGTAAGGGGAACTAAGGTTGCTCTGAATATACAGATACAAGTATCTTAAATACTTAGTGCGTTTTTTTTCTATTCTATATCTTTTTATGTATAATTTTCTCTAAAATCGTTAACTGCAACTTGAAAGAAATACAAAACATCAGCTAGAATAGAAAACTTACACAGAAAACAATATTTAAGAAGAAATAACACATCCGATAGTCTTTTTGTTTTGAAAAGAAATGTCTAATAATATCATAATTAAAATAATGTCTATTTTGTTTTATTAATTACCATATTCAATATTAACTAGGTAGCGCAGTACTTTAAAGCGTTGGTTTAATAAACTACAAAGCAAAAAGTTCGATATCGATCTCTGCAGGTTTTACTTTTTCCCCATGATTCCATACAAAAACGCTTTTTTTGGTTAAATTGTGTATATTTGAATTTTCTAATAACGCAAGTCTATCATATCTATCAAATATATTCAATTTAGATCTATTACAGTTTTCCGGTGAGTTTCAACTCCTTAACAAAAACAACCAAACAAACAACCCAACTGAACAAAACAAATCGTCTGTAAAGGAAATGACGTCATATTACGAATTCTGTTTAAGTTTCCATGACATGTCCATTGCCTTCCTCTTTGACAAGTTTCAAGTATGAAAATAGCTTGTCAAAATCATCCGACATCGAAATTTTTATAGATGCCGAAAGCGGGCTTGCACAGGAGACCTAAAACACCACAAGTTTACAATGAATAACTAATTAAATAAAATTATTAAATAAGAGAATAATGCCTCTAGAACAATGATTCGTCAAAACTGTAAGCTACAGTAATATGTATTAATACCTGATTGAGCAGCTGTTTTGCTCGGCTGTGGTACACCTGTGCTGAAATAAGCAGACCACTGTGGTCCGAATTGCTGGACATCAGTCTCTGACCAAAACCAATCATAAAATGGGCCTGGGGTTTGCTGGAACCTCCCGTCAGGTAGCGCTGTAACATTGGCTCAAAGTAACCATGGAAATCAAACACTTGTACTCTTTCATTTCGTTCCAACTTGAAGGGTTCTCCATTGTAAACAGTAGGAGTTGAGATAAATATTACACATCTAATAAAAAAAAATTGCATTTCAAAACAAAAGAAAACAAAAAACAAAAACAAAAAACAAACTTCAAAATAAACGTTATATGTGTGCTGTTTAACCTAAAATATGATAAATACTGGTATGACATACTAGTACTAGCATTTTTTCATTATCAAAAGTAACATGGAAATTCATTAAAACTTATAAAACAATGCATCAACTGTCACAAATACATAGAAAAGTGAACTTTCATTACCATTAAAATTGGCTTTTAACAATATAAACACTTTAATTAAAGATATCTTAACTGTATTGAGTTCTGTATGGAGAGTTTACATTTACATGCTGTACCCACCTCGATTTTCTAGTTGCATAGATTTTGCCATCATGACACTCGAGTAGCATGCCCCTGTCTAACGCCGACAGTAGTTTATACGTGTGTTCCTCCTGGCCAGGGTTGTTGGTTTCACAGGGAGGAAATTCTAGTTGTTCAAACTGGTCGGGTCCAAAAAGTTCCTGTTTAAACGGTTCCATAAGGATACGATCATTCCTCTCCGGATCGTAGAAGAGTCGGCATCCATGCGGACTTCGGATGTGAAAACTGCACATTTGTTGTTGGCAGTAACAGATTATTATTTCCATTTCGTGTGCTGAAATACATAATTTAAAATAAAAATATGTTTTTAAACATATTTTAAAAAATAGATTTAAAAAATGTTTCGTTGATAGTACACTCAAAAGTAGACAATAATAAATATCTCACATTGTGCATTATTTCAACATCGTTTCAAATGGAGTGCAAAAAAATATTTGAAATTTATTTCAATTTGTTTTATGCACTAGTAGGATGCATGTTGCAAAATTAACTAAGTATTCCAAAAGAAGGTCTTCTGTACAAATATCTACCAATTAAATATACTAGTACTCGACTGCTAGTTGATTGGAATTCAAATTTGAATCAAAAGTCTACATGTATGAATAACTTACATAATATTAATTTCCCAAAGTCTCTAATGTTCAGTTATATAAGATGTCTTTTTATGTCTATTTATAACTACAGGATTATATTTACCCTGTGGTTCTGGTGGGCGGACCACTAGGGGAACAATGGCCTGTTGAGGATGGGGGCCACGGGATGTCAAACCATCGCCTATCTCTGAAAAAAAAAATCGTCCAAAAGCTTGATTTTCTACAGATCTTAAAAGTACTGAAGACGTACATGTATACACTTTTTTTATCATGGGTAAATTGTTTGTCATATAGATCGGGGACCTGGATAAGATTTTGAGTTGTACAAACATATGTACATGTGTATTTAACTCAACAAGTCAAGCATATGGAATAAAAATTAAAGCTACCTGTCATTTCGACATCACTTGGTTCCTCTTTTACATCATTGGCTGGGGTAGTCACTTGATTCGGCTGAGTATTTGTCGAATTTGGATCAGATTTTATGGGTTCTAGTTCTAAATCTTCTAAATCAGACGGAAAGTTAGGTAACTGGCCCTGGGTTGGAATCTTCACCTCTGACGGGTCTTTTTCTGGCAATTCTGAATTTGGTGTACCGGGAGTGGACTGTATAGAAATTTGTAGGGTTTGAACAAATAAATAGAAAACAAAACAAGCAAGGTAGTGTCTGAAAGGTACGTATGTTTAAATTGGCGGTTTTGTATGCAAAAAGCAGACTTACCGCTAAAGAACAGACCTCACGATACTCTTTATTGTTTGATTTCGCTTGGTTGATTTCTGTAAACAGGAAATATTCACCGTTTAAAATAAACAGACTTAAATAACAATATCGGTGGTGTGATAAAAATTTAATAAATGATTTTTTTTCTCTTCAGAAACATTTTCACAAGTTTTGGTATGTGTATGTACATATAATTCTATTATTAAAGTTTGTTGATTAGCAGAAAAAATATGCTATTTGTGTTTTCAATCCATGCATGTTACCTTCTTTACTGAGGAACCTGTAGGCACGGAATGGATCACTGCCATCTAGCTGATTAAAGTTTTTCATTTCCTGGATATCCGGAAGTTTATTGAGAGCGCACCGAAACCGTGTCTTCCACGTTGGCCAGTCTGCGGGATCAACCCCTTCTCTATAACGGCCGGTGTGTATGGCCCATTCCTGATGAAGTCATAGAATGTCAAATTATCCCAAAAACATTATTTTTACAAAAGTCTTATTTTATCATCATCAAGATCTTTACTAATTACTTTTCCCATCTTGAAGCGGCACAAAGTTCTGATCAGTGTAACTACGTAGAAAGGTTCATGACAGCTCTTTATGTAAAATACTATACTCAGACTTCGAACACTGTTTCAAAAGGTGGAAGTAGAATGAGCACTTTTAAAGTGGGTGGAGTTAAAGCATATTTGACACACACAAACACACCCATTTTTGCTCCACCGCCCCCACTTTTTGTGATATGATTAATACCCCCAGCATCCATTAATACGGAAAAGGGAAAGTAAAAATTTGCAACCCTTGTGCTCTCAACTTTTCTCTGTCTTAATTTACTACCACATACCCCAATCATGCCCCCTTTCTATTTTGACGATTCTTATAAATATTTTTGATCCCAACTTTTCTTTTTATGATTTTTTTTTGTTCTTTGAGATATCACCCCCCCCCCCCATACACACACACTACATGTGATTTAGCCTCTGGTATGGGAAATTGTAAGGTATACATTTAATGAATTTAATGAATTTTAAACATTAAAAAACAACTGCTAAAAGTAAATATGCAAGTGTCGTGCATATATATACTAACATTTATATAAACAAAGCATTTTTTTTGTATGGAAAATCAATCCTTATCGTGAACATGTGTGTGTCCAGAGATTATTTAGTCTTTCCCTCTTTCCCTCTATGAAGTTACCTTAAATATTGTAGAATCTGCCTCATTCCAGTCATGTTTGCCTCCATGTTTCCAGGGGACCTTAAAAATCTTCTTCTCTCTGAACAACCACTCCAGTCCCTGTATGTTTCCCGCCTCTACTTTGGCTTCCAGCCAAGGCCTCATTCGTTGTCTGCTTTGTCCGCTATCCATTTGAACTTCTCCAAATCTGAAAACATGGGGTTCATGTATCACATATCGACCAAAACCCTTGATTAATTTACGCTTCGTTCCTCCGTGAGTTTCCGAGAATCTCAGCTGAATCACAATGCTCTCTCTCTCTCTCTCTCTGACAAATGGGACTCATTTTTTTGTAGGCCAAAACTGCTTGTAACTCAAAGGCCATTGCATAAAGGCAGAATTATTTGGGTTTTTGATAAAGGTACTTAATTAAACAATTAAAAAAGTCTTGTTTTAAAATTCGGAAAAACTACATAATTCTCAGTGGGGCACGAAATAAACAAAATTAAATATGATGTATGAAGACGTTTACATACTAATATTTACATTTGCAAATGTTTTCTTTTATATAACACTATTGAAAGCAATGCGTATCTATATCCGTATAAACACGGGTTCCTCGCGTCATAAACGTTCGACGTAATTTTTCAGTGACGTCATAAAGGGTCGACGCGCAATCAGAGGATCAAACACGTGCCGTTGGGTTTGAAAAATAAAACGTTTCACGCGTTAACCCTCTTACTGCCAGAACTGTGTCAAATCTGTGCAGTTGATACGCCAGAACTTTTGCTTACAAGTATCAGAATGTATTGAATATTCTTTTAATGATAAGCAACATTCTAAAGATAATTTTTGATTGTAAAATGATTTTACTAATTTCTAAATATTAACGAACACAGGGACATTTCATATTCTGAGTTAATGACGTCAGCTCCCTTGCTAGTATTACGTCACAGTCATAAAAAAAATCCGCGTAATTTGGCAAAAGTAAAATTTCATAATGTAAATGAGTATGAAAAATAATGAAAGTTTTTAACATAACAAGGAACAGATTGTTTTTTACTTTTACGCTGTTCAAAATTACTACTTATAAATGTCTCATTCAGAGGAAAGAATGAGTAGTAAAAATAAAAAGTATTTTAATTATAAATTCAACACTATTTTATGGAGACGTTTTGCTAAGGAAACGTTATCTAAGTAGGCCCCAGTCCTCACCTAGAAAAGAGGTTTTTAGACAAAATAAATGCATGTTTTATTTACAATCTATACGATGTGGGATACAAAAAATATTAAGCTAACTCTTACGTTTATTACTATTATCTGGCGCGGATCTAGAAATTTTTAAAGGGGGGGGGGGGGTTAAGAGTAAATAAGACCTGTTATACCGTATCTTCACATAGTTAAACGACAACTTAATAGATGTAATTAGGTTCGTAGCAACGGTTTCAAAAGTGGAGGGGGTCAAATTATTTAACCAAAAAAAAACAAAAAAAAAACAACCTAATTAACTGTCCAAATCCTAGAATATGCCAGTTCTCGACCTAACAGCGACAGGAGGGGGGGGGCAACCAGCATCTGAAAGGAAATTTACTATAGCAAAATACTACACTCAGAAAAAAGTGCTCCCGTCCCCCCTGCGCTCTATGGGTCTGATACTATCAATTAATAAGAACACTTTTTATAGTAAAGAAACTGATTAGATACATGTAAATTAAAATAAAACTGAAATACTAAATACTAATACTAAATTTCAAATTTAAATGTAAATGAGGCCACCTTTATTGATTTGTAAATTTGCCCTTTAAAAGCCCAGTATTTTATCTAGATCGATCCGTTTTAGAAAGAGTGTGTGAGAAAATTCTAAAATTTGTGTTATTGTAAGTAAATATCTACCTGGCTACCACCTCCTATTTTGTGATAATTTGAATAGAGTAGTTCTTCAAAGGGAAAAAAGCCGAAAACAAAAACAAACAATACAAGAAACACTTCTTTTACATGCTGAAACATAAGTATGTCCCTTCGACCCCAGCGGTGTTATATTGGATTTGAAAATGGGAAATACTCTTTTAAAGTTGTGCGAAATTTTCAAATTTTTCGAAATAATGAACCATTTTTAGTTCCATGGCAACTGCAGGTATTTTGGATATTCAAACTCGATTTACTTGGAGAGACACTTACATATTAATACATGCATTATAAATTATAATCAGATGCCAATCTCCATCTCGTTTCACGTAAATAATCCATGAATTGATCATTCAAATTATTATATACCCAACTGTTTGTCACTCAGTTTTACTGTTGAATTTACGCAATCACGTAACGGTGTGATCCGACGTTCCGGATCACCACACTGTGGTTTTCTGAATCCATATCACCCCTCTCTGAAACTGATGACGTAGTACACAGAAAAATGACGTTTTTATTCTCACGCATCAAAAAGTTCCTTGACAAAATGGTTTGTTTAATGTATAAAAGTTATGTAATTGATCTAAAAAGTTTCCTTTTATTATATTTTGCAGGTTGTAAATAGGTATAAAATAAATTTATCATTACAACAGTAACTTGATCCGAAGAGTCGTATCACGTCTCGTTGACAGGCGCGGATCATCAGATCAAACGAGACGCTTCGCGTCTCGTTTGATCTGATGATCCGCGCCTGTCAACGAGACGTGATACGACTCTTCGGATCAAGTTACTGTTATTTTAGGAATGACTCTAATTCTTGGCCAAATTATTCGAGGATAACCTGGTTTGGGTCAGTTTACGCTGTTTTATAATCCGCTTCGCGGATTATAAAGCGTAAACTGACCCAAACCAGGTTATCCTCGAATAATTTGGCCAAGAATTAGAGTCATTCCTTATAATTTAATTCTAAAATCATTAAACAACTGTGGGTGTAAAATTTCGTTGCTTTTTATTAGTTCAAATTTGCTGCTCAATAATACAACCCTAGTAACGGAAGTGATGGGAAGCGAGGGGAGGTAAAAACTGATACATAGTCCTAGCAGCCATGTTTTTGTTTACATGTGGTAAGATCCGAGTTACTGTTTGAAGTTAAAGGTACATTTATTAAATCTGGAATTTTCCATGAATCCCGAGGACTGGAAATGAGAGGATTGCATGGATACAGGCGATTCAGCTGGTTGTCAGGGGGGTGTGTCCCCATACCAAACCAGGTTATACAGAAATAATTTGTGTTCCTTTTTGGATATTAACCAATCAGAGGCTAGAATACAAACAAAATTAAATTATAATAATATATATTTATATATCACATTTATGATGTTGACTTAAAACCGGTAAAGCATCACATCACGTAAAAGTATGTGGTAAATTAAAACTAGACGAAAGCAAAACCGTTTTTGGAAAAATAAAGAAACAAATATTCGGGACTCTCCTCTCTCTCTCTTTCCCACCTTTTCTTTCTTTCTTTCTTTTGCAAATCCAAAGGGGGGGTGCAACCCCGGAATGTCAGACACCTCGGCCCATTGACATTTCGGCCCAATGACATCTCGGCTCAGACGGGTCGGCCCAAGATTTAAGACTGGTTGGCCCATGCATAAGACACCTCGGCCCAAGCAAAATTTAACTATGAAATACATGTACATGTATATATTTCCAATTTTGGGACTTGAATTAAAATGTTGATTGAAAAAAGTATATGAATAAACTATCAAGATTAAAAAAAAGATCTTCCACGAGCACATTGACGATATTCAAGGAATGAGAAGACGATTTAATGCTATTAATTAAGTGCTAATTGATAAACAAACAAAATACCACAGCGCATCCTTTGGGGGGTCAAGCGCTTGTTATATTGGTGACAACAGGGGTTACGGTAATTAAGAGCAGACTTAATTGGGAGACAGTAATTGAATAATTTCTTAAGAAAAACATTTTCCACAAGAAAAAGATGTAAATGAAAGCCTGATCTAACTAAGTTGGAAAAATAAAACGATTATATCTATCAAAGACCCCCATTTTTTATTTTTAAAAAATCATTTAATTGTCAGAAAGAATAATAACACCAATGATATCAATTCAAACGCTGGGTTAATCTGTTAATTTTTTTTTCCATCGTAAAATTTTGCTTGGGCCGAGGTGTCTTTTATATGGGCCGACGTGTCAACAATCTTGGGCCGACCTGTCAGGGCCGAGATGTCAAGCGTGACGGATGTCTACCCAACCCCGTAACCCCCTCTCTTGATTCGCCACTGTTACTCTTTTTTTATTGTTTAAATTAATAACCAGATATCGAAGACCCCAAGAAACGAGAAACGAGAAAGTTATATACATTTTCATTTTTGCTGAGAGACGAATTTAAGTAGGCACATTTTTTTACGATTTCAAGTGCAGAAAATCAAGAAAATGTCTTACATGTGACAAGTAATTTAAAAAAAGTGTTTATAACAGAAGTAGATGTAGCCGAAAAGCGGGGTGGGGGTGAGGGGTTAGCAAACGACACACACACGCTTGTTACAAATATTTGTAAGGGGGAAGGTTAAATACATGTAATGTAATCATGTGAAACATTTACAAAATCTAACTCTTCTTTTGCTTTAATTGTGCATGAAACTGAATTCGAAGTTCAAAGTACTTTAATATACACCAGTAACATTTCAGCACTACGTTAACCTGAATAAAACTAAAGAAGTTCTAAATGCTAATGAATTTTTATTTTCGGAACATTCAGTTATTGGGAAAATTGTTTCATGTAAAGGTGCATATGGAGTTTATCTATTTTATGGCCGTAGGAACCGGAAGGGAAGGCATGAGGGGACCGTACACTTCCAATAATTTTGCCAATATATGTATTAAACTGTGTAAAACATAGTAAGTATACGCTCCACTCTATGCTTGAGCTCAATGATAACATGGATAACGTCTGTATGATAACTTTCAAACTTGACAAGGAGTTTCTATTTGATAGTCCTCCCATGAAAATATTTCATGAAAAATTCAAAATCTAGAACATTATATGACAGTGTCCAACAATACATAGTATGTGTGTTATAAGCAATCTGTCCTTCAACTCTCTCCTTCTCTTATTGATGGAAATTTCGATATCAGGGTCGGTAGCAAATAACGAACAATGTTTTAGATGTTTGTTTCAGTGGCATAGCTGGGCAAATATAATTTGGATGCTTTTCTGTCTCAAGCAAAGGCCTCTGGAGCAGCATTAAACCCCCCCCCCCAGCGGGTATG